TAATCTTTTTAAAACTCCAAAATTAGTGATCTCTATCATTGTTGTTCCAAAAATTATCCCCAATGAAGCTATCGTGTTCAATCTTTTATCCACTAAACCCATTCACGTCAAAGATAAGAATTTTTGTGCATGTGTGGGGTCACATAGTTGAAAGTGGGGTCAACCCCACTTGAACTTTCAAAATAAGTAGAGATCAATATGATGTTCTCACTAGCATTGGGCATCTCTTCCATGAGCAATGATACAAAGTTCTAAAAATATAACTCTAATATGAGTTCTATTAATGTAACTCTAATATGAGTTCTATTAATGTGATAAAATAAAAAATAAAAAAATATAAATATAAATTAAAACATCACATCATATAGCCTCCGTTTGACAAGTTAGTTTATGGGTTTTTTTTGACTATTTTAACCACAAAAGACAAAATAGGCTATTTTAGTCACAACAAATAAAACATGACACCCAACCCATAATCATTACTCTTCTCTCACAAAAAAAGTCAAAAAGCCAAAAAATCATTCCCAAATCAAATTTTTTAGCCCAAACTAAAATAATTAAAAAAATCAAAAAGTCCAAAAATCAACTCACTCCCCAAACGAGGACATAGTAAGATCAGAGTTAACATTTTTCCTCTTCCATGATGTTCTGACTAGCATTGGGCTTGTGTTTTTATTTTTCTATTGTTTTTTTTTAATTTTTTTATTTTATCATGTCACTAAAACTTATATTAAAACTATTATTAGAGGGAGAAAGAATCCATTTTTCCCTTTTTGTTTTTTTCTTTTTTTTGTCGAGAGAGAACAACAATTAAAATTTTAATCCTTACAAATCTGACAACTGCTATGAATCTTCATTGCTTCATAATTTCTGCACATAAACCAGTGGCCCTACTTGTCCTTCATTAAAATAAAATTTTACTTTTAGACTCTTTTTTTTTTTTTTTTTTTTGTTTTTTTTTTTTTGGACACAAAATATTAGTAAAACTAATGAAGCATCTCTCTAATTTTATGTAGCAAAAGCGGTCTAAGGTCTCATTTGGCAAGTGATTTTTTTAGTTAAAAAGTTAAAAAATCATTAAAAAAATAAAAAAGTCAATAACTCATACTAAAAAATTAAAAATTTTATTTTCTCTCTATTTTTTACACATCTTTTCGTAAAAAGTCAAAAAGTAATCCCAAACATAATTTTTTTTAGCTCATATTTTAGCCAAATAGCCAAAAAGTTACTAAATTAGCCTGTTCTCAAACGAGACCTAAGATATTCTTTTATTAACTAAGGTCCTTTAACATTTTTACAGAGAAAATTCAACTCAGAGAAATTTTACCCGACTCTGAGAAATTTTGAAATTTCTCTGATATGATCATAGAAAAATTTTTAAATTTCTCTAAAAAATTAAAATTTCTTTGTCGGGACGAAATTTTTATGAGTCGAGCAAAATTTCTCTAAATTAATTTTTTTTTATAAAAACATTGAGAGACCTTAACTATTATGAAAATATTATATGTCATTTATTTTATAAAATCTTAATATCAGAGATATTAAAAAAAAAATATTTGTAAGGTTAGAAATATTCATAAAATGCTTTTAATATGAGAATTAGGATTTGATAGATCAAATATTCAAATAATAAGATTTATTGAAATACAAGAATATCTCATGGACTAATTGAGATACAAACATTTGAAAAAAAAAATTCTAATAAATCTCCTAAATAGACCATCTATTTTTTAATGACAAATGTAAAAATTGAATAGGATATAAATATCGTATTAACTTAATTTTTTATGTAAATAATATATATAAAAGATTCTAAAAAAATAAATAATACAAATTATCAAAATAAAATTTGTGGCGAGACCCAAACTCCGACCAACACCCTCTATAATAGTCCAATATAAAATTTCCAAAAATTATCCCCCAATGAAGCTATCGTGTTCAATCTTTTATCCACTAAACCCATTCACGTCAAAGATAAGAATTTTTGTGCATGTGTGGGGTCACATAGTTGAAAGTGGGGTCAACCCCACTTGAACTTTCAAAATAAGTAGAGATCAATATGATGTTCTCACTAGCATTGGGCATCTCTTCCATGAGCAATGATACAAAGTTCTAAAAATATAACTCTAGTATGAGTTCTATTAATGTAACTCTAATATGAGTTCTATTAATGTGATAAAATAAAAAATAAAAAATAAAAAAATATAAATATAAATTAAAGCATCACATCATATAGCTTCCGTTTGACAAGTTAGTTTATGGGTTTTTTTTTTACTATTTTAGTCACAAAAGACAAAATAGACTATTTAGTCACAACAAATAAAATATGACACCCAATCCATAATCATTACACTCTTCTCTCACAAAAAAAGTTAAAAAGCCAAAAAATCCTTTCTAAATCAAATTTTTTAACTCAGACTAAAATAATTAAAAAAATCAAAAAGTCTAAAAATCAACTCACTTCCCAAACGAGGACATAGTAAGATCAGAGTTAACATTTTTCCTCTTCCATGATGTTCTGACTAGCATTGGGCATGTGTTTTTATTTTTCTATTGTTTTTTTTTATCATGTCACTAAAACTTATATTAAAACTATTATTAGAGGGAGAAAGAATCCATTTTTCCCTTTTTGTTTTTTTCTTTTTTTTGTCGAGAGAGAACAACAATTAAAATTTTAATCCTTACAAATCTGACAACTGCTATGAATCTTCATTGCTTCATAATTTCTGCACATAAACCAGTGGCCCTACTTGTCCTTCATTAAAATAAAATTTTACTTTTAGACTCTTTTTTTTTTTTTTTTTTTTGGACACAAAATATTAGTAAAATTAATGAAACATCTTTCTAATTTTATGTAGCAAAAGGGGTCTAAGGCCTCATTTGACAAGTGATTTTTTTAGTTAAAAAGTCAAAAAATCATTAAAAAAATAAAAAAGTCAATAACTCATACTAAAAAATTAAAGATTTATTTTCTCTCTACTTTTTACACATTTTTTTGTAAAAAGTCAAAAAGTAATCCCAAACATACTAATTTTTTTAGCTCATATTTTAGCCAAATAGCCAAAAAATTACTAAATTAGTCTGTTCCCAAAGGAGGCCTGAGATATTCTTTTATTAACTAAGGTCCTTTAACATTTTTACAGAGAAAATTCAACTCAGAGAAATTTTACCCGACTCTGAGAAATTTTGAAATTTCTCTGATATGATCATAGAAAAAATTTTAAATTTCTCTAAAAAATTAAAATTTCTTTGTCGGGACGAAATTTTTATGAGTCGAGCAAAATTTCTCTAAATCAATTTTTTTTTATAAAAACATTAAGAGACCTTAACTATTATGAAAATATTATATGTCATTTATTTTATAAAATCTTAATATCAGAGATATTAAAAAAAATTCCCTAAAACATTTTTGTGAAAACTATTTTACTCATTTCTTGTTGTTTGGTTGAACCAAAAAAAGTAAAATATTTTTAAAAAAAATATTTTTATATTATTTTCTAAAAAATAACGTACCTTTAAAATTTTCATAAACCAATTTTACAAAATTAACTCTCACTTGCTATCTTTTTAACACTTTCTAACATTTTTAAATAAATATATTAACTCACAAAAAATTATAAATAGCATTTTATTGAATCAAAATTTCTCTTTTAAATAATAAAATATTTTTATATCAAGTATCAACCAAATATTGAAAAACAAAAATAAAAATAAATTTTCATGTAAAGTTAATTTACAAAAAAAAATATTTTTTTATGTAAAATATTTTACATTGAAATAAATAGAGCAAACACTTTCACTCATTTTGAGCCTGAAGACGAGTCTAGAAAATCACTTGTCCCAATGCTCAATTGACACAGAAGAGAGGGAAATGGCATTTCCAAAAGGGCACTGGTTTCCTTCCGTCCAGATCAAATTAGAGCGTCCTGTTGAACTTGTAAACACTTATCAAAGATTTCATTTTGATAATCCGAATTATTTAATACGTAAAACTCATTAAGTACCATATACCTGTAAAAAAATCACGTTAATCAGATATCAATACTTATCTCATCGGATTAATTTTTTATCAACCGTTTATTTTTTCACCATCTATTTTTTTTTATACAAAACTAATTTGATCACTTAACTATCGATATCCAATCAACGTAATTTTTTATAAACATATAGGACGGCGTGGAAAAAAAAGATTCATGTAACCGATCCCATTTAATGAGACTTAAGACTTGGTTTGATTTGGTTTTATATAGTATTCGACGAGTTCTACATATTAAACAGTTCGAATTATCGAAACGAGTCCCATGATAGACCCCACGGGTCCAACAACACCCTCCAATCTGACCTAAAACTCAAGAGAAGCCAAAGCCTTTCCAAAACTTGAATATCTATTTGGGCACTAGAAACTCTGCGAGGATTTTTTAATATTTTACCCCTAATGCCCGAGAGTGGGAAAGATTGTAAACATATGTTCGTGGATTGATTTTTGACAATTTAATTTGCCGTTTAAATTTATCCGCATGTTTGCAATTTAAAAAAAAAAAATTAAATCCACAATCGCCGCAGTGCGGATTGCAATTTATAAAGATAGAATTCACAAATGTGTGAACAATTGCAGGCAATTTATGAATTGGACTTTTCGTTTAAAAATTTATTTTTAAACTTGTTTTTCCTTATTTTTTAAATATTCTTTTTGGACCCTTTCTCTCATTTTTTAATTATTATTTTGAATAATAAAATCACATATTTCTTATCATGAAATTATTATTTTTCAAATGATTTGTCCCCAAACAAATTACAACCTATCTATACAATTTACTTCTAGAAAGAAACAGACCATAAGCACAGGTCAGGATTAGTCAATTGACTCACATTTATTTTGCCAAAAAGGTATAAGTTGAATAAAACCTACAATTGTGTTAATAAAAATAGAACAAAAATCTCTTCTGAAAAATTGATTTCAAGGTATGCTAAACTCACTAATTAGTGGAAAACAATAAGTATAACCATGAATAAGCTCTTTTACTCATTTTATTACAAGTTACCAATATTTGTTGGGTTTCCACTTAAGAATGCAAAACAAGTTGCAAAACATTTATTTACTTGCAAGTGAATAAGTGAGAGAAGAGAAAAGAAGATTATGGTTACACACTTAGAGAACTTGCAAAAAAATCTGATAGTCCAGATTTTAAAAAAAAATATGTATATAAATGCTGGCAAGTGAGTGTGGGAGCGAGTAAAAACCGCAACCAGCCTGCAACCTGCAAAACAGGAAAATCCTTACCCATATCCGATCATAACGAATATGCAAAACTGCCCAAATAGGTGCAGAAGGTTCAGATTGAATGATTTTCACGGGTCGAATAATCTTATACTCAGCCCTACTAGTAAATGAATCGAGTCAAGCAGATTAACACATTATTTAAGCTGGGTTTAAAATTTTAATAAGTTTTCAAATTTGTTTAAGTTAGTTTGTCTACATAACGATTTTATCTCAAACAAGCTTTTAATGAGCTGAACATAATTCAAGCTTGAGTAGTCTGATTTTATACAAGCCAAGTAATAGGTTGCTCAAACATGATTTGAAAAGTTAGCGAGCTTAAAATTGTGTTAAACTTGTACTTATTTACGTATTGAACCGATCTCATACAAGCTTTTAACTAGTCAAGTGAGTCACGCTTGAGTAGCCTAATTCATTTAACGGTGACAATAGGTCCATCCAATTACATAATCCAAAATAGAATTCACAAAAAATAATAATAATAATAACAATAATAATAATAATACAATAGACAAGACCAATATTAGAATAAAAATTTGTGGAACTGATACAAGCTAACCTGAAAAGAATTAAGTCAATGCCTCGTAGTGTTAGAACAGCTGATCTCTTCCTTGAGGATCTTTAAAGCTTCTAACACTCCATCCTGTAAAAAAATATGTCAATTTCACAGAATTTGTTTTTCATGCTCACAAATAAAAAGGTTCCATATTGATGATTTCCAAGCAAAGCATTACCTCGAGAGACAGCCTTTCGGCAATCTCTGATGAGCGTGCTTTCACTTTAGATGATAATGCATAATTTAGGGCCCTTGTTAGCATATTTGCAGCTTCCCTAACACATGTATCATCACTTTCATCTGGGAGCAAGTGGTTTGTTTTCAATGGTTCTGAGGAAACTCCAAGCCAAAACATCCTCTCTGCCCAATAAAACTGATCCAGCATAAATGGACATACTACCTGCATCCCAATATCTGATTCGTTGAGACTTCAGACAGAAGAGGGGGAGGGAGAGGGCTAATTTTGTTTCAGATCATTCTAAAAATAAAACATTCATTTGATTTTCACAACTCACTCAAACTAACATCCATTTGCCTAGATGCATCTCAAATTTACACTGCTTCTGCTGAAACATACCAACTGCTTGAAGGATTGAGAGGGAGAGGTTTAGCAACACTAGAGTGATAATATGTTCGGGAGAGAGAGTTAAATGTATATTTGCCCTGTCTCACAGACAGTCTTATCATTATTTGTTGCAGCAACATTCATCTTTTGGTCACTTGTACTATAAATTTGTAATTTCTTAAGTTTGTTTACCAAATCTAGGATAGCTGGTCATGGAAACAAAACATAAGTTCCCTTCTTTTGTATCTACTCTTTTTTCTACTCTGGCCATAAAGCCTAGAAATTCAAATTTCCATGTTCTAAATTCATACAAGATTGCCACATAGAGGGACAACAGCATCGAGTTTTCCATATCAAATGAGAACTTAAATTTTGGATGAGAAAGATTTTAAAATGAACCTGCGGAATTCCTGCATGCAGTGCCGCGGCAGTGGATCCACTGTAATTGCAGTGAAATGAGGTAACGCAAAGCACATATTAGTAGCATGGCAGGGTGTATACTTTTTAGAACAAAAAAGGACTAAAAGAAAATCAACTCTTACCTGCCTCCGTGATGAACTGCAGCAGCACATCTGGGAAACAGCCACTTATATGGTACAGAACTAGTTATATGATTACAAGACATCTCAGTCACCAGAATACGGGATCACAAATTAAAATAGAACCTTAGATTCTACGGTACATTCCAAAACAAAAATGACAAATGTGCTAAAATGAAAATAGATAGATTTTAAGTCACCCTCAAATAGGGGCATAATTCAAGCTAATTTATGAAGTAAATGAACAGAGCTCGTGCCCCCATTTTCAAGCTCATTTAAGAAACGATCAGGAGTCTAAACAGGGCCTCAACCTTGGTTTGATTGCTCACAAACCATTTATAATGGCATATGTATATTTTCATTACAGTTAAAAAGGCACTTATCTAAGATAAATTTGTCAGCATGAACTGCTCAACCTAAATTAGGTAAAAGAATGCAGAATAGCGACTTGAAATAAAAGCTTATATGTGACATGAGATGCAGCCCATTTTTAAGATGTGTCTACATCAAATCATGATTTTTATTTTATGTTGTTTTGTCAGTAACTTTGAATTTTGAACTCAAGAACAACTGATATTTGCGAAGGGCATGACTGAAGCCAGGCTTAATGGCAAAAAGATTCATGTAGCCAACCCTACTTGATTGGGACACAAAGCTTAGTTTAGTTTGGTTTGGTTCATGATTGAAGCAAGTTTTTAAATACCTTTTATGTTCATGATTTCATTGAGCAACCAGTGAACTGAGCTCAAGCTATTGCTCTAAAGCCACACTTGAGCTAAGCTCTTCATATGAACCAAGCTGAGCTTGATCAAGGTAATACTTGGGTGTGCAAGGTTTGGTTCGATCATAACCATTCCCTTAAATTATCAAAACAAAACCCCTAATTGACTCATTTCTGTTTGCTTCCGGAGATTTCAAATGACACAGACCACTGGGATGCTTCAAAAATTTCTCCGAAAGCAACATTTAAAGCTCCATAATGACTGCCCTAGAACAGTTCTCTCTCCTTGAGTACCATGTATTCCATGCATTAAACATTTTGATATGAATGCGTGGAACTTACTCACTAGAGGTGCTGGTCATTTGAAAGGCCTTCAAAAAAAAACCTCCCTTTCAAATTTCAGAGTTTCTTAATTGGGGGTGAATCTTACAAGCTGTTAGAAGTTATTACTAGAAAATGCTAACATCCCCAAAACAGGACAAACATTCATGTCCAAAACTAGCTTTTGAGACAACAGGTTGTCAAACAGACACTACGTGGAAGTATTAACACAACTAGAGCCTTCTTATAACGTCATTGTATTGTGAAAAATGTCAAACAATTTCAAGTGTTCTTTAAATTCTGAAAACTGGCTCCAGGTCTATTGAGAGTAACATTACTCATTTACTTACTTTCTGATTTATTTACTACCTGCCTGTCTTAGTTTCCAACCAAATGCAAGCTAATCAACAAGTGCTCACCCAGAAAAGCAAAAAAGTCTGCCACCAAAGATAGAGATTCCGTCCTCACTGAACTGTCTTTGTTCTGAGCCTGATGATGCATCATCAGCAATCTTCTGAATTGCAGCATCTAAAGGTTCAAAGCCAGCTGAGAATAGAATGAATCTGTGACTTGTGATGTCCACAATAGTTCGAAGAACCTCAAGAAATGCTTGAGGGTTCCTCAAAAAACCCATGCTGCATGTGGCAAAGAACTCAACTCAGCAAAAAAAAATATACATATATAAATGAAAAACAATACGAAATTACAGGCAGTTAAACACCACCATAATTCATGCACAGAAAGAAATAAAGAGGGGAAGAATATATAAGCCTACTCAAAAAAATGAAAACAGCTAAAACACCTGGCCATGTAAAATTTTATGCATTCTAACACTTCTACTGAATGGGAAGGGGATTCACCCCAAAAGCCTCTTCAAACTAGAAAACCCAACCACCCCAAGTGTTTTTCCTAGCAATTTCCCAAACAGAACAAACTTCGGTATGTCACATGTAAAAACATAAATGCAAATTAAATTTGGTCAAAATCATATCAGTTTTAATCAAATAATACACTAGCCAACCTTTTATAGGTTTAGAACTTGAATGTTTAGAAACATGAAGTGATGATGGTTCTCAAACAAGTTAAATAATAATTAACTTTTTATGTTCAATGACATATTTTAGTTTTTAAAAAAAAAAATAATGACAAATAATTGAACCTATAACTATTACCATGATAAAGAAGAGCTGTTCAATCATTTAGTACCACAAGCTTTTCCACGTCACTAAACTTTCTTGATTTATTTAAAACTATACTAACCCTTTTTTTACAAGTATATTAAAGCATTAAACGGGTGCCAAGGGCTCTCAAATACTGTTTATGTAGTTTAAAAATCTAATCTACCATAACACCCATCAGTTATTGCAAAAGTTTCCATTAACAGAGTGGTGGTCAAGTCCTAATACTGGTAAAATATATATCTCAAGACAGGTAATACAAATAGAGTAATGCTAGACACTCCCACACTAATTCACACACAATGATATGGCATGGGAGTCGAGCCCATCCTCATTAAGTGTGTAACAAATCAAAAGTTGACACATATCCTATCACATCATTGTGGGTAGAATTGTGGGTACTCTTTGAGGTTATCAACTATTTTCCTACAAATATTATGTACAAACTTGCCTTCCAACAGAACAGAAACCAATAAATACAGGTGGCAGTGATGCAGGAGTTTTCAGAAAAGATTGTAACTCAGCATGAGCTGAGCACATCACATTCTCATCTTTTGTGTTTAAATGCTCTGAAGAGATCAAAGCTGAAATTTCTGCACACTTGTTGCACGAGAACTGCCATTCCAAAGGAAGAAACCAAAAGCCACAAACCCGAACATTTGAAGGCCAGTAACCTAATATTGCACAAATGTTAACATATTAATGTAAAGGGGACCAAAAACTAAGAAATTGTTTGTGCTGCATCAGATTAATTATCTTAAAATGCTCAGGCAAAGGCAAGGGCAATATAGAAGCTTTCAAGCACATAAGTCAGCCATAAACAAATATATATATATATATATATATATCAAAACTACATATCACATACAGCTCTCTTATCATGACTAACCCAAAAAAAAAAAGAAGAGAATCCTCTTGAAGGTAGAAATGATATATATAAACATACCAGGGCATTCAACTACTTCTTTGCTAAATCCATACCTATCATGCCAAAGTACCACAAGTCAGAAACTTATCACAAAGACAATATTAAAGATAATGCATCAAGATGACATTCGTTTCAAACTCTCATCTTTTAAAATATAAAGCTTTTGAATATTAAGCCACTTATTTTACAACAATTTTTTATTAGTGTAGAACATGCATTTTCTTTTGTTTACTGTGGATAGAGGGACAGAGACAGAAGGTTGTTTATCCACTCAAAACTCAAATGTTACTCAGACCAATTACATACTTCCACCAAAATTTTATGGTCTTGGTGGGTTAATAGAAAGTGGGAATTGGGAAATCATGAAAGGCTTAAGGACCATCCTATGAGAAGAAAACATTACAACATGCACAATGAGATTACCCTATCATTATCTTGTTTAATCTTGGAAGCAGTCCTTAATGGCTTAACCTTTCTATGATGGATACTTGAATCTTACAATAGCAGGGGAGACAGAGACCTATCATGCCACGCTGGAAGGCCCGTCACTGGATCCTGGCCAATGAAGAAGCAATTTGATAAATCTAAATAAACACAAAGCAGAAAAGGTGGTATGAAGTTTTCAGTTAATTAACAAACAATAAAGTAACAGATATATTATTCATAGAATAAATGGGGAATTTTCAGAGGCCATATTTACAAACTGTGAAAGGCCAGGGGCTTAGCTTCAACTCATCACTTCTCCACGATCCCCAATCTTCAGTAAAAAGTGGCCACATCCAGTGGATAACATCTTTCCATCCAACCTAATCATATACAAAATGAAAAATATTGCTTAAATATATTGTTACTAACCCTTCTACTGAATTTCAAGAATAAAAGGGAAAATTATAAATAAAAAGAATAAAGGAACATATACACATAAATGTAAATCATATTTTGAAACAGAATGCCAAATGTATCAAAACTTGTTATACTGCCTCTTGTACTCAATCATATATGATACAAATAAGTAAGAGAACCATTTGTAGGGGAAACTTGAACAAAATTTGAAACTATTCCATGACTCACCTGGTCAATAGGAGCTTCTTGAAGATATTCATATAAAGGTGGAAGCTCTTCTCTGAAGTAACGCTCAAATGATGAAGGGGCACTGAAAAGAATTTGACAAAAGATCAAGAAAGAAGAACCAAAATACATTACAAACTTATGCGCCATGGAAATGTAAATCACTAATGAGAAGTAAAAAACAGAACTCATTTCTACAACTCGCTCAATTTTGGAAATTTTGACAGGAAATTATGTACACTTGGAGGGAGGATAAGGTTGCAATCTAGTAAAGCCTGTGACAAACTACACTAGTTATTCAGAAGATATTTTGGATAAATGGAAACTACTCAATAAAAATAACACAGACAGGGAAAGAATAAGCATCTTCCCTATTCAGAATGACAGAGTTTCCTACAATTCAATAAAAAGATGACTACAATCTGCACCAATGTTTGAGCATACCCACACAGAAAAAAGTAAAACATGTCGAAGATTGAATATAATAGGAACCATGAGGTTGATATTCTTAGACACTTGAATTAAAACATAAGCTTGAAAGGACACGTTCATTTAAGATAATGTACAACAAAAGCTCGAAGGGACAAGTTCATTTAAGATGCATTATCAACTCCAACTAATAACTCTCAGTTGAAGTGTAAAAGTGTGGAAAACTTTGATTAGGGCTAGAGAGAAAGAGAGAAGGAACAAATAGAAGACTATATATATTATTAAACGTATGTTTCTTGGTTCCTTTTTAATAAACCTAAAACATCAGCAAATATATAGAATACAATATGACCATAGTACCCTCACTTAACACAAAAATAACATATATCACTACATATTCTAACACTCCCCCCTCAAGCAGGAGCATAGAGATCGAACATGTCCAGCTTGGCAGAGAGACGCTAAAACGAAGAACGAGCAATTAGTTTGGTGAAGATATCACCCAATTGATCATCAGAGCGAACATATGGTGTCACAAGTTGCTAACGCAACAACAAATCTCTTATAAAATGACAGTCAACTTCAATATACTTCGTACGCTCATGAAACACGGGATTATTAACAATGAAAATAGTAGCTTGAACTCATGTTCATAGGAGTAGGGACATGAATACCAAAATCCTACAGAAGAGAACAAACCTATAACATCTCAGAGGCGGTATGCGCCATAGTACGATACTTAACCTCAGCACTTGAATGAGCAACAACTGATTGTTTCTTGCTATGCCAAGTAAGAAGGTTACCTCCAACAAAGGTGCAATATCCAGATGTAGAACGATTTTCTTGTTTTGTTCCTCTCTTCAAACTCAAGTTGGTTAGTTTCTATCCTCCTTGAGTTTGCGGGGGGCTGTTAGAATTTACCACTCACCCACCTACTACCTCCACTATCTTTCTCCACACCTACCACCTCCACTATCACACACTCCATCCACCTCCACTATCACACACTCCACTACCATCCACCTCCACTATCACACACTCCACTACCATCTTCTCCTCTATATATAGGAATTGTAATATACAGAATATTATCAATCTTATAATCAATACAATCAATCAGTAATACAATTTTCTATTTCTCTTTATACATTGAATTTTAACAACATCTCAGAGGCGGTATGCACCATAGTACGATACTTAACCTCAACACTTGAATGAGCAACAACTGATTGTTTCTTGCTATGCCAAGTAAGAAGGTTACCTCCAACAAAGGTGCAATATCCAGATGTAGAACGATGGTTAGTCCAACTGTCAACCCAATCAGCATCACTAAAGCCAGTGACAGTTAAGGAAGAAGACGAAAGATAAAGTAAACCGCGACCTATATCACGTTTAAGATAACGCAAGATTCGACACACAACATCAAAATGGGGTTGACGAGGAGCATGCGTAAATTGGCTAACAATACTCACAGCATAAGTGATATTTGGACGAGCGATGGTAAGATAAATCAACTTCTCAACTAAACGACGATACTGACCAATATCAGGAAACAACTCTCCAGTCTCACCATCAAGTTTAACCGAGGAGTCCATAGGAATATCATTGGGACAAGTGCCCAGAAGACCAGTTTCAACAAGAAGATCGAGAACATACTTGCGTTGAGAAAGAAACCAACCCCAAGAGGAGCGAGCAATTTCAATCCCAAGAAAATATCGCAGATTACCCAAGTCCTTTATGTGAAATTGCTTACCCAAATATAACTTTAGATTAGCAATACCAGCGAAGTCACTGCTAGAGATGATGAGGTCGTCCACATAAACAATGAGAACAATAACCCCAGTAGATGAGTTGTGAACAAAAACAGAGTGTTCATAAGTGAAACGGCGAAACCCATATACAAGCACAACGATACTGAAGCGATCAAACCAAGCATGAGGAGATTGTTTAAAACCATACAAAGTCTTCCATTATCGACAAACCATATGCTCATGGCCAAGAACAACATAGCCAGGAGGCTAATCCATATAGACCTCCTAGGGCTATTTCGGCTCCCAAGGAAGAGGTTTCAACAAGCAAACAACTCTAGGTAAGGAGCTTTATCGCAAATTAGAAATATGACACCATTAACTCGAAAATCTTTTAAAAATAGAAAACTCACACCAGATGGTCTCAAAAAAAATCCACCAAATCACCATTGAGATCAGAAGAGGGAGACAACCAAGAAGGGGTCACCTCGTCCGTACGTCATGCTGATGTCATCATACGAAAGATGACGTCAGCACATCGTTGTCACCTCAAAGGAATCACGAGTGGTTGAAGAACACTTTGATAAGGTTAAATCAAAGCTCTGATACCAAGTTGAAGTGTAAAAGTATGGAAAACTTTGATTAGGGCTAGAGAGAAAGAGAGAAGGAACAAAGAGAAGACTGTATATATTATTAAACGTATGTTTCTTGATTCCTTTTTAATAAACCTAAAACATCAGCAATATATAGAATACAATATGACCATAGTACCCTCACTCAACACAAAAATAACATATATCACTATATATTCTAACACTCTCAATTAGAAGCTATATTGTTAGCCTGTGCAAAACCACTGCAGAAGGAAACATGTAAAGAAACCACTACACAATTTTGAAGAAAACTAATTTTTTTCATTTATCAAAATAACCGGGCAGCAGCACTGAAATTTCTCAACTATAACCGTTCTTTTAACATCCGTTGACGGCTGTTGTTGTAAGCTGGTTTCAAAGAGAATCAATCATACAAAGCATCCAACGTCATAACAACAGTGATGAATATGAAGTTGTAAAATATAAGCAAATTTGGGGAACAAATCTCAGCAAAGCTTCGGGGATTTTTTTCGTGAATAGTCATAACAGAATTCCTTATTATGAGATCTGTAACTTCGTTACATTTGGCCCCTATCTCTTGGAATTTAAATTTTTTTCAGAAATTTTAAAGATCAAGAGCCCAATGATTTGTTTTGTTTCTCTGTCATTCTTGATGATGTTTGTTTGAGACCTTGTGTTTGTGATAAAAGGGTGTGAACTATTCATTCACCCAGGTTATTTTCTTGTAAATCCTTTTTTGACAAAATAATTAATAATCCCAATGTACAAATTTTGTTTATCGTAAAATCATTTGGGATGCTTTCATAACTTCTAAAGTTGAAGCATTTGTGTGGTCTTACGCTGAAAAGCTCAATATCAATGACATGATTCAGCAAAGGAGACCCAAGTGCCATTTATTTCCACAATGGATCATTATGCGTAGAAGGGATGAAGAAAGTAATGATCATGTAACTTTGTAGTGCTCCATGGCAATAGCTCTTTGGCATATAGATTGTTTCATTTGGTGGAGATCGATTGGGTACCGGATTGTGTTGGGTTGCTCTTGATTGATTATAGGAGTTTTGGTAGCAATAAAAAGACTCAGATGCTTTGTACCATTCATTAATTTGGGGGTAATTTGGTTGAAGAGGAATGCAATAATTTTGGAGGGATAAGTTTGAAGATCTTGAATCCCTATGGGAATAAGTTTGTTATTTGACAACTTTTGGGCCGTAAATCACTTCTCATTTTAAGGGGATTCCTTTCTTCTTAATTAGTAGAGATTGCTGAGTTGTTTGTGATTTGTAACTTGTAATTTTTTTTCTTGTTTTTCTTTTCTTTTTCCTCTTGGCGGACTTCTTGTCTCCGATGTAATCCTTCTTTTTTTCCTTTTATTAAAATTTTGTGTTGCTTATCAAAAAAGAAATTAGGCCAAGTTTGGGAACCACCTAAAATAGCCAAAAAGTCAACTCTTCTCTCTACTTTTTTGGTCTTTTCATAAAAAGTCAAAGAGCCAACTAAAATAGCTAGTTCCCAAAACAACCATTTACTGGTTAGAGCAAGACACTGCTTATTGGAAATTAATTAAAAGAAAGTAATAGAGGAGTACATCATTATCTCGAATAAAGCTTCTCAAAAAGACATGCCATATTTACCCAAGGGAAACACTCCATATACTATCTCAATTCCAAAATATTAAATAGTCGAGACAGCTCAGTTTGTACACAGAATGACATGTTAGGGTTAGGGTTCTGACAGCTATGATCCCAGCCAGGGTTGTGATGACAACCTGAGAGACTCCAAGGCTCAGAACTCGTGCACTCACCAAGAGATGTCGATTAGAAAATTTGTTGGGTGGCTACTATTTCTGGAGTCTATGCAAATGGGGACCATTAACAAGGCCACTATCAAAAGAGAAATATTCATCTGGCAAGCCAACTTGCCAGGTTGTTGTGAAAGGCAAAAAATTTAAAATAATCCGTATACACTATTAACGAGGCACAGATTAAGTAAGACAGTCTTAACCATTGTTATTAAAGGCGATAGGCGCACCAAGGCGCCAAGGTCTCCTGGGGCCTAGGCTCAAGGCGCAAGGTGAGACGCCCTTGTACAAGAAAAAAAAAAATAATAATATAAGTAAATAATTTAGGGTTCAACATAAACAAAATGAAATGTTAAACATTTAGTGCTTGTTTGGGATGTGCTATATAAGTATATTTTTTTATTTTTTGATTAAAAAAGTAGAGAAAACGAAGATATAGATTTGGGATAACTTTTTGACTTTTTACAAAAAAATGTGTAATAAAATTAAAATGACCATTCTACCCTTTTGACTTTTTGACTTTTGGGTAGTTGAATTCAAAGGGTAAAATAATAATTTTGCCTTTACTCTTGAATAGTATTAACTTTTTAGTTTTTTTAATAACTTTTTGACTTTTTAGCTTTTGTAGGTTATCCCAAACAAGGCTTTAGTGTTTTTTGGAGATTAGGAATTTGAGTTAATTTTTTTTCTATCATTGATTTGGAGTTGAATGCCCAATGTATTGGCATCTGTAATAAGAGTAGGGATTTTCTATAACTACACTACACCCTATTAAATCAATGATTAGATTTTAAACAAAACCAATTAAAGCAACAATAAAAAAAGTCCTCAAGATGCAAGCCTTGGGCCAGTCGGGTGCTATCGAAGTCGCCTGACCTGGAACACTACAAGGTGCAAACCTTGGGCCTGGACGGAACTTGGGCCTAGGTGCACGCCTTATCAAAGTCGCCCAGCCTGAAACACTACAAGGCGAAAACCTTGAGCCTGGATGGGACTTGGCCCTAGGCGCACGCCTTTAATAACACTGGTCTTAAGACTGCCATTCCCACTGTCTTGTAATTTCCCCTATGACGCACTTAATCACAAATAGAAAGCAAATTTTGAACTGCCAAGCACAAAGGAAAAACTAAATTTTGAGTTGGTTGATTAAAAAGAAAGCAAATTAGAACAAAATACAAAAAGTAGTATCATGTCAATCTAATTGGAAGCCCTCCAGTACCTGTAAGGAACGACATAAGGAGCAGCTACAATGCAACGGACATGAAAAAGTTCTGCAAGGTTCCAACCTTCCTGGAGCAAACATGAAAGGGAAATCATTCAGGGATTGCATCATTATATCCTTAATCTGAAACTTCTAACGATTTCTCAAGTGAAAATAAAAGTACCACAATTAATTTTTAATCATTAAATTTATCATAAAATTCAAGGGAAACTCTGTCCAACTGTTTTACTCTATGAATTATAACATGCTCAAAGGTAACTTTTCGTGGTTAATCTGTATTAAAAATACCAATGCAAAGAAATTTATCACAATGAAATCACCCTCCAAGCTTGGACCACCACCAAATATCTGCTCCACGTTAGAAATACATTCTAGTCTATGCTCTTTTGTAATTCTCCTCTTCTGCAGGGAAAATGACAGTTTCACGGTACCTGGAAAGATGGGAGCTATTAGAACTTTGCAGAAATACGAATGTTAGTTGCTTTATTAATTTAAACAGGACAACTTTTCCCACACAAATAAGACTAACAAAACCTGCAGGACCATCATCTTCATAAGGAGAAAGAACCGGTGGTGATGAAACTGGAAGATATTCAACATTTTTTGCCGCCAAATGTGAACTTAAGTTCTGCCAATTAACCAAGAAACCCTATCAACATTTTTTGCAAGTAATTTAGATAAAGATTATACAAAGGTGGGATGATGGTGGTTGTAAGGTTGTGGGGCAGTGACTGGTCTAGGAGGGGGGTGGCGACAGTGCGACAGAAGGGGGTGGCGAAGGAAGGTGGTGGCAGTGATGGTGACTGGTTGTGATGGTGGTTGTTGGTGGTTTGTAATGGTGTGTATTGAGAGATAACATGTTAGGGTTTCGTTCATAATGGTAAGTCGCTTGAGGGACAAAATGGCAATTAAAAAATTTAGGCAATACTGTGAACTGAGAGTAGTGTGTAAAAAAAAAAAAAAAAATTCCCTAATAATAAAGGTTCACAAATTTTATTTCCAATAATTTAAAAATATATACATATACCAAAAAAAAAAAAAAATCAATATTATTTAAATATTAAACAAAGCCTCAAATTGAGATTTTATTTTAGGCCGCATTAAACGTTTGGTCCGGCCCTAATTGTAACTATAACTTTAAATCCGTCAAATGTCTAAATGTTGCTCGAAAACATTTAAATCCAGATATAAAATGATCCAATGCATGTAAAAGAAGTCTTTTTCTAAGGCACTGGAAGTTCTAGAACCACCTAAGAACACACTAAGATGAGAAATCACACTACAACATCAGCACATAAATCTGCTGATAGGGCCATTCTGGGTGTTTTAACGGTTTATTCGAGTCTTGAGTCTAATTTTTATTTATTTTTTAATATTTTCTTTTCCATTCAGTCAAACAAGTTCCATATGCATTGTTACTGTCTTATGGCTTTTGTTCTTTTTTTTCCCTCTAAAATTCAAGTGATATTACAGTCATGACTTTGAAGTGAATCATGCGACAACTTTAGAGTTTTTACTGGACTGATTATTCACCCATAGATTATATTCGTGTAAAAAGACAAGATTACACATTTGCTCAGGGCAACCTCAGAATCTTGTATGGGGATTTGTCCTGGATTGTACTCTGCGGCTTTTGGAGAATTTTTGTAAAAACACAGCCTGCTACTGCAGGCCTTTTGCACTCGCTCTTTCTTTTGGGATTCAGACATGGGTGTCAGGCTACTGTTTAGCTTTATCTAGTTCTCTATTTCCTTCTTAACTGATTTTGTTCTTTTTATATGTCATTTGCGTCATATAAAGATGTGGCCAAAAAACCCTTGAACTGACTGAACGTCAACGGCATTAACCACCAGGATGGTACACTGAGTCAAAGCTTGGACCTTGGTGCATGAAAGCTTATGACATATACATAAGTTCAATTTTATAATCTCTTATGGTTTCTCCAAAGTTGTAATATTTTATTATTCATATTACCATGAGATAATTTGCCAATCAATTGTCTCCATTTTGTAAAAAACAGATGGAGTAATCCCACAAATGAAGGGGAAAAGTTTACAATGAAAATGATGTTGCATAGCCTAAGTAGGTAGGTTACATCTCATGCTCATCCATCCACTCCCAACACCCCAAAATACTAACACTAACGTAATGAATTTTTCATACATCAGACCAAACTAACAATTATATAGTTTCTTTATCAATTGAGGCCCCGTTCGGAGGTTGGTTTTTTGGCTAAAATAGCCAAAAAAAAACCCAAAAACATCCAATCACATCACTCTCTCTACTTTTATGCACGTCTTTTCGTAAAATCAAAAGGCCTAGCCACTTCCCAAACACCCCCCCCCCCCCAACAACTAACGAATGTGCAGTATGTCACCACTAAACAGTACAACGGAGAATAGAGTAAACCTTGTGAGCAGAATGAGTTACTAGAACCACGCGATATTGCTCCTGATCAAAAGCAAAAGCAGCAGCAATGGCCTGAAAATAATAGCCAGTTACGATATGGCCATACAACCAACATATTAATAAAAATAATAAAATGACTATCTCTTCTTTTTTTCTTTTTTCTCTTTCCTTTTTTTTTCTTAGGGAAAAGCATGGTTATCAACAATGGATCACATGACAAAAAGTTGGGTTAAATTCCCATAAAAAAAACCAATCAACATGGATAGTCAAAAACAGGGTCCTATTACTTCCCTCAAACCCTACCAAGAAGAAATATATTTTTGAAGCAAGTTGTTCAAGATGTCCATTTCACATATAATATGTACCAGAAAACACAATAGTATTACCATTCATATAATTACCCAACAATCACAATTCAAACTATTTAAGATTCTATATATCGATCAAATTTCTCGAATGGCTAAAAGGGTTTGTTGGATTGCTTTGCTTGGATACATAATAAACATACACACATAAATATATATATATATATATATATACAGAGAGAGAGAGAGAGAGAGTTACAGAGATAGGATAGACGTCGCCTTTAGTGCCGAAGGCCATGAAGAGAGCCACCGGTTGAGTCCTCCTGGTACTCTCGCTCTTCGTCTCCATAACTCCAATTCCTTCAACGATTTCGACTGCGAAGCCTCTCATATGTTTATAGCGTCAATATATTAATTTTAAATTTTATAATCCGCTTTAATTAATATAAATGTATTTTTTAATCTTTAATAAAATATCAAAATAAAAATAAATGTGTGAGAAATTGAAAGTATAAAATTTGTTATAATTTACTAGTTATATATGGAGAATTTTTTTTAAAGTCTCTAATAATAGCAATTTAAAGGATAAAGGACACTAAAAAATAATATGATGGCTTAGGTCCCTTAAACAAAAACGTATTCTGTTTATTTATTTCTTGGACCAAAATACTCTTTACAATCAACCGAGAAAACTCAACTAGATTCCAACGACTGAGTTCTAGTCCTGATATCCAATCATCTTCATGAGCAAGAGCAGAATTAGAGTTTCACAATCATCTTTACTATTCTACATTAGAGTTTCATTATCTTCTACGAAAATCTCTTCTTTTCCTTCCTCACAAATTTTTCTAACCCGTTTTCGCTGTTCATCGCCATTTTAGTTCATCTTCATCACAGTGCATCTTCATCTCAGAGCATCTTCATCTCAGAGCACATCAGTTCGTAATTAGGGTGTCATCCTCACTTTGATAAGTTTTTCTTCAATCCAACTAGTTTTTCTGTAGAAACACAATTAATTACATTTTATATTAGCCTTTCATTAATTAGTGTTTCAATTTCCTAATAAAAGCTACATGAATTTGAAAATTTTTATTTTTCTGCATTTTGAACTTATTCTGAAGATTGTTGTGTGATTTTATCTGCAAATTTCTCTGGCATTTGAATTTCTCTAGCACCGAGTTTTTCTCTAGAAACACGGTTAATTGCATTTTATATTAACCTTCCATTAATTAGAGTTTCAATTTGGTAATAAAAGCTACATGAATTTCAAAAATGTTATTTCTCTTCGTTTTGAACTTATTCTTGAAGATTGTTGTGTGATTTTGTCTGTAAATTTCTCTGACATTTGAATTTCTCTGAAATTTGCTTAATCTATATTTCTTCTTTGAATTTTCTCAGCCATGTTTATTCCCCTATTTGTTTCTGTTTATTCCTTTATTTTCTCTAGTATGGTTAATTTCTCTGTATTTTTCTGTGTAATTTTCAAGTTCAATTCATTCAAATTTCTCTGCTCTGTAAATTTCTCTAGCATTTTAATATTCTGTGGCTTGCTAGATTTATATTTCTTTTTTTGAAAATTTCTCTATCATGTTTATTTTATTCAATTCTTGTTTTCCTCCAAATTTATTTGTTGTATAATTTTCTAAAAAAACATAAGGTAGTTGTTCCTCCTTTGCCATGGCTTAATTTCTCTACCATGTTTAATTTTATCTGGCATGTATAATTTTCTCTGGCATTTTAATTTTCTGTGGCTTGCTAGATTTATGCTTTTTATTTCAATTTTCTCTACTTATATTTTACTCATATATGTAATTTTAGCAATTATTGAAAATTTATCTGTCATGTTTATGTTGCTTTGTTTATTTTCTTTGGGAATGAAATTTTCTATGGCTACATGTATTTCACACGAGAACAATTAGTACTCTCTTGTCTGTATCTAATTTTCTTTGGCATTTATAATTTTCTCTAGACACATTACTTTTCTCCCTTGTGTGTGTCTGCCATGTTTAATTTTCTCTGGTTGTGTCTATAAATTTCTCTATCATTTTAATTTTCTGTGTCTTGCTAAATTTATGTTTACTTTTTGAATTTTCTTTGACTATATTTTACTTCCATATGTAATCTTAACAATTATTGAAAATTCTCTCTGGCATATTTATATTGCTTTGTTTATTTTGTCTGGGAATGGAAATTTTTTGTGGCTATGTATTCCACATGAACTCTGGCATCTAATTTTATGTGTCTAATTTTCTCTGACATTTATAATTTTCTTTGGCTACCTTAGTTTTCTTCCTTATGTGTTATTTTCTCTGACATGTTTAATTTTTTCTAGGATTTAATGTTGACATATTTATGTTTTCATTGTCTAAAAATGGCGAAACGCAAAAGCAGCAAAAAACCAAAAACACCAAGAAAGAAACAAAAACTCTCTCAATTTGGCAGTTATGATCTTAGATCAAAGGCAGCAAAACACCACAAATTCTTCGCCAAAAAACAGAAGTCCAAGTCGAAAAAGTAACAAGCATCAAGATGAATACGCCAACTTCAAAAGACTCAAGCTCAAAGGGAAAAAAAGACCTGTTGAACTCCAAAGGAAGAGACCTAATTACAGCATTCAATACTAATCAAACCTCTCATCTGTTGTCTCCTTTTTTCAAACACTTAAATTCAACTCAAACCAAGTTGTAGAGCTTCAAAAGACTCCATTTTGGTATTTGATCCAAGCTTTAACAAAGGGAATGATGGATCCAAGGAAGTGCAGGAAATCAGATGATGATGATGATGTAGTTGCAATCATCCAAAGATACAATGAAAAAACAAAAGCATTCACAATTGGTAAGAAGAACTTGACATTTACAACCAATGACATGACCTTGATTTTTGGTTTGAAAGATGGACAAGTCACCATGTCATTAAGATACTCAAAGAAGCCAAACACGACATTCCTAAGGCAAAGATTCCCAAACGAAACAAGGCTCATTGGTCTTATTCTAAAGAAGGCATTGGTCAAAGCAATGAAAGGGAAGCAGCCAAATAACTTCAAAAATGTAGCTATCATTGTTACCTTGTACTTGTGTCTCACCATATTTTTTGCAACAAGTGAGAATTCAATGGGGTGAGTTTTTATGAAGAACGTGGAACCGTTTGAATTAACAAAGAAGTATGATTGGCCAGAAGCAATAACAGCAACATTGATCGATTCTATAACAACATTGCACAAAACTCTAGAGAAAGTTACGGGGTGTGTCATTGCATTGCTGGTAAGTAGAATTTCCATATCTATTTACAATTATGATACTTACAAATTTGGGTGTTTAGTAAAATTTAAATATTTCAATTTTCATCACAGTATTGGCTATGTAAACATGTAACTATCATTGACTAGGAAGACAGTAACACAACTGAATTCCCAAGATGTGCCAAGTGAGACTTTCAAAGCTTGACCAAACAGTTACAGAAGACACCAATCAAATCTCTTGCACCTTGATAGGTTAGATTTCTATCGCCACTCAAGTCTCAGAGAAATTCCAAAATTTCTCTGACCACTAGTTTGTTTTCCTCATTGTTATCAAAATTTATAAACTAGTATTAATCAAAATTTATCTGCAATGCAATAACTTATATGGAAAAACTTATGTGCCTTGACTGATTAAGATCAATTTTCTCTAAAATTTCAATTTATGTTGCTTGTTTGATTAATACTGGTTTATTTCTACCCTTGTAATGAATTTTCTTTGGAATCCAAATTTCTTTAACCACAATTATAGTAAAATTAACTTATAAGCCTTGATTGATTTTCTTTGATATCTGAATTTTTTGTGACCCATGAAATTATGTTGCTTGTTTCATAATTTTCTCCGACCTATAAAATTGTGTCTCCTATTACAAATAGATAACGAAAAGGTAGTTAAATCCCCATCAGAAGAATTTTGTCTTAGTAAAAACAAAAAAAAAAAGCAAAAAAGATATTGGCCAAATTCAAGCAAACACTAGAAGATTCATTTGTAGAAGAAAAGAGCGAATGACGAAGGAGAAGGCAACAAAAAAGAATAAGAAGCAAGCAATGGAGAAGAAGATCAAGGAAGCAATGTAAAAGAGGAAGCCAAATAAGAAAATCAAGAAGTAGAACACAAAGAAGAATATGAAGGGAAAGAAGAAGAAGACAACGAATAAGAAGATGAAGGCACTTAATTTGAAGAAAACAACGAGGAAATTGATGAAAAAGAAAATAATGAGTGGATGAACCAACATAGCATTTGTGGCTCAACAATGCAAGAACTTCAAGAATCTGAGGAATCAAAGGACGCTCAAATTGCTAATCTGCATAAAAGACTAAAGACACTTTCTAAATCCAAAAATAGAAGAAGAGAAAAATTGGAATCAATTACTTGAAGAAAAGGACATTGCAATAAGAACCTTGACATCAAATAATTCAGAACTTCAAGAAAGAGACAGTACAAACCAACCAAAACTAAGGATCATGGAGGTTCAAAAAGACGATGATAAAAAAAAACAATTTAATAGTTGAAGCATTCAATTTCAAAAGTTGAAACTAAAAATGCTAGATTGCATGAACAAATTCAAGAACTATCCGTCTAACTAGCAACACAACCTTACCGAACACCGACTCAAGTTCAATCCCAAGGTCAGTGAAAATCTTGAACCACAAAAAGTTATGTTCTTCTATCAACATAACTCAGAGAAAATTCTATTTACTAAAATTTCTCTGACCACATTAGTTTGGCCAGTTTCATTTCTGCTGCTGATTTGATTTTCTCTATCTATTTGCTTCCATATGTGTGTAATTTTCTCTAGATTTGGTAACTTCTCTGACCACGTTGATTTTTTAGACTTGTTTGATTTTCACTGTGTATAGTTGGAATAGAAGTGAAACAACAACCAATAACCTAACAATAAAAAGTGGCACAAAAACAACAACCAAAACAAAAGACAAAAGTCTATGGTAATTGAAAAATATTGAATCAAATAAATTTATATATTGAAATATGATCTGTTACTTCAGTGAAATTTAACTTTTACTAATATTTTCACTGTCTACAGTGAAAAAAGATCCTACATCAATGATAAAGAATTTAATGACAAAAGAAAAGAAAGGAAAGCAAGATCCAGACTTTCAATATCCCAAAGTTGTGAAGATCACTAGAGGTTCAAAGTAAGATACAAAGCCAATAAAACAAACCATTGAAGACAAAGAAATATTGATGCCGATGACTAGGTCTTGCCTCAATCGACAAACGTCAGAAAATCTTGGATTTTTTCACAAAGTCTACTTGTTGCAAAATTGATAAAAGGACATGTCAAATATATCTTGCAGCACATATCAAATGTATCTAGACTAGAATAAGTACAACAAATAAAATAGAAGATAGCAAATAACAATTTACTAACTTAAATTG